GCCATTTCGGACAATACGACTCACCGGTGGGTCGTAAGATTCATGAAGCGCTATCTTTGCCAATTTACGACGGAATTCTACGGGGTTTTGGCACATGACTGGGGGCACTTAGATGAAGCTCCAGCCAGAGTGGTCCCCTCCGTAAAGCTACCAGAACAACAAATGGACGCTGAATATGAGAGAAATGTAGGAGAAATGCAGGAAAATACAGGAGAAAAAATGAAGAATATAGGAGAATAGAGAAGAATATTGGAGAATATTGATTGGAGGTTAGAAGAATGTAGTAGTTGAGAGTGTGTATTAGTCCACATTAGCCGTGGACCAATGCTAAGGCTGTCCTGCGGAAAACCCGTCCATCTGGCGGTGGGCGTGGCCTCGGATGCGCACCTTATTGACACCCCCCTGCCTCAGCGCGCGCTATCGTTCATAAAGTCTGCCACCCCATTTGATTTCTCAACTCAAAAACGCTCATAACTCGACGTCTAGGGGCGCTCGGCAGATAATGAAAACAGATTTGGAATCAGCGTTTGATGCTCTTTATAGTCGTATCGTCCATTTGAAAAGGCCACTTCGACCGAAAACACCTCTCTTGTTAGATTGGCTAATGGATAAATTCCTCTCGACATGCAATTTCAAAGTTTTAAAGAAATACAAGTAGCTGTTACCTGCAAGACTTTTTGCGAAAAGATATTTTTAATACATTCAACATTCACGACATACGACCCACCGGTGGCTCGTAAGATTCATGAAGCGCTATCTTTGCCAGTTTACGACGGAATTCTACGTTCTGGCATATGATTGGGGGCACTTAGATGAAGCTCCAGCCAAAGTGGTCGGGGCTCGGGATACTGATGTGATATTACGGTAGGTATACGGTAGATATGTATAAGGCACAAGCTTTTAGCTCAAATTCTTCGCAAAATGATGCTGTTTCTGGAGAAAATCAAGTTTACATATAAGAGTAATAAGGGGCGGGCAGGAGGCTGACGTTAGCCCATCAAAAAATTATCGATTTTATTGATTTAATTGATCTTGCATTTTCATCCTAGGAAGCTCGAACTTTGCATATATAGATTTTGTAGCATGCTGATTACGAAAATGATAGTCTCAAGTTTTGATAAAACCTTCTTACATCAGTTTCTTGATTTCTACGAAAATTCTACGGTACTGCTACCGTAAATTGTGGGAAAGTATTGAATAAAGTGGACGCTATAATCTGATCGCACGTGAAATAACCCCAATACACAATTTTGCATGAAAATCCATGATGTTGGGTTCACACAGAATGAATACCGTAACCGTTATCCCATACTTCCAGAGCTGAAATAAATCATATTTTTTGATCAGCGCGTTCGGTAACCCATGTGGGGAAATTCTCGGAGACATGTTTTGAATTTCCTTCGAAAAAGACACCATTTCGGAGAATACGATTCACGGATGGGTCGTAATTTTGACGATGCGAAAACGCTCTGGTCCGAAATGACAGTAATCGAAAAATCGGCCTTGTCTTGAATGTGTTGAAACTCTATTGTCACATACCCTTCATTTAAACATATCTGTTCCAGATCCAAATCGCTTGTATTTGACCGTCTATAGTCATGCATGGGTTGCAGATATGAAAATCTAGTGTGTAAGACTAAAGATCTGGTGCAAGATGTACATCTTAAACCTAACTCTTGTTCACTTTTGCAGGATGTTTTTTTTGATTCCAAAATTTGTGAAGAAAGTCTGACTATTCTTCCTGCACAATTTCGTCATCAGCAAAATAACCTGCACAAACGGAGCGAACCATCCGATTCTTCTTGATACAATTTTTCCAACGATACTATACATTCATACACAGGGCGTCAAAAAAGATCAACTTATTTTTTTGTCAGCCTGATAGTATTCATGTAAGAAATCTAGACTGGAGAAAGGAAAAGATTGTCAATTTGTCTTCTCTAAGCCAATCAAAATTCCCACGCAATTTACACGTAATTTTCGTAATATTAGGTTGATGCAAAAATAATGAGCGTTTTTCAATTTTTACTTTAACCTGCTATAACTTTCTACAAAATCCATATTTTGAAATATGATAAAGATGTTAGATGCAGCAAACCTTTCCCAATACAGCGCACATTAAACTAAACTCATATCTCATATGGGCAGGAAAATATGGATTGAAAAACAAAAAAGTTTTTTTCTGAGGCATTGTTTTTGACAAAACATAACTCCTTTCACGCTTTGTTATCATAATTTATAAGAAGCCTATCTTGTAGTCGCAAGCCAGCAGTACAGACATACGATGAAAGAGCTTGGAAAAAAAATTAGCGAAGAGGAAAAAATCGAAATTCAAAAATATCAACTTTTTCAGCATTTTTTCAGTAGACCTCAAAATCCCAACATAGAACTGTCTGCGTGCTGAACAGCTAAATGCCTTGCTAAAACTGTCAACTGAACCCTTACCCTCACGCTTGCGGAAATGAGCAAAGTTTGAGCTATTGCATTCTGCAAAAGAAAGTTATGGGGTCTAAAATGACCACAACCATTACACATGTTAAGGCGTCGACATCTCACTTTAGATAACTTCAAAAAATATAATTAAGCATGCATAATGTAGACGATTTCTATTGCGTATAGTGGCTAAATTTCGAAAAAAGCACTTTCATTTGCGCTTAAATTCTGCTCAGAAAAATGAATGCAACGAAAATCTTGTTTTGAGTGCGATCATTTGACTCTATATATTCTTAACAGAGTAGGCTAAAAGTCCCTTCCGAACATCATTAGATAGAGCATGAAAAGAAATTTTTAACAATATGCTGGAACCTTTCCAAAGAAAGAAGTCTGATAGAGAAGAGTTGTCCTGAAAAAAGGCTTAGGAAAACCTTCATTATTTTTGCATCAACCTAATATTAGGTTGTCTCATAATCAATGCACGTTTTTTGGATTTTAACTTCTGATCAAGATAATTCTTTTCCAAAACCATCTTTCTGAGCGCAATAAAAACTCTGCAAACAGCAAAACTATATAATGCAAGCTCTTGTAGGATCGTAGCCATTCTAGCCTGATACATTTCTAAACATTTTCTTATAAACCTACACTTTGAGAGAGCTTAAAGGCAGTGTCTCACCAAAGTTGAGGTCGCGCGGATCTTCACATATTTTATTATAGGGACCTCTAAGTAGGCCATTGCAACAAGTCCCACTCAACTTGACCCCCTCCACGCTGAGAAAAATTCGCTCAAAGTGGTACGCGGAGAGCGAGTTGGTACGCGCGGACGACTTTCGGTCTCCCCTCTTACGCGTTTGAACATGTTCCTCCATTTGGCATCCACCTCCCCTCTGTTGCTGCCACTGTGTCTGAGGTTGAAGTTGGAAGGTACAACTCGTCCACATTGCTTCCGTGGGGCCTCCAGAAAACGGGGTTTTTGGGAACTTCGTGCGATTTTAAGCCCACACAGTGTTAGACAGGACCCGAGAGGCTTGCAAAATGCAAAAATCTCAGCAGCTAAATTTTGGTGAGACACTGCCTTTAAAGGCAGCGGCTCGGCAGATTTTCGACTTTGGGGTTCTGGCAGATTTGGGGCTACGGCCCCCTGAATCACGACATGAACTCCTCTTAGCGCGAAAGTAGGGAAAACCCCGTCTTTTGAAACCCCCCTTGAGACGGGCGCGGACGAGTGGGCCGTTTTTCTCTGCCGTCGGAGACGCAGAGTAAGGAGGTATAGAGCGCTAGAACAATTCTGCCCTACGAAGCTACGAGTGACGGCGCGTCTTCTACCGGAGAACATACTCATCCGCACAATTAGGGGAGCGAAAGGAGGAAGGGGAGCGGAGCTTGGCTCGCCCCCCCCTGGCTTGCAGAATTCCATTTTTGGCCCGGAGTTGCTTTTTTGGTACACTTGGAGGGCTTCCTATCCATCTATGTCAAATTCTAAGGTAGGTCTATTCTGCCGAGCCGCTGCCTTTAACTTGCTCTCAAATGTACCAAGATCGCGCAAACTTTGCTCGTTATGCCGATGATCGGTTCCTCAACTGAGTAAAGTTTGGATTTTACGGTATTTTTTCACGAGAAAATTTTACCAAATTATCAAATATAGCCGCTTCAGCATTTTAAAAATTCCAAAAAACTACCTTTTTGGGATTTTTTTGATTTTTTCTCTTCGAAAAGATGAGAAAATGCTGCCGTTTTTCTAGCATTAGTTGTACTAGGTCCAATCTAGCTGTACATGGCGAACTTTGAACTGTCGCTCCTCACCTGAGATTCTTATGCAGCATAGATGGGCCTCAGCGACCAGCCAGGTTTGAGACAGATTTCTAATCTCAGGGTTTCTCAAAACTTAGTGTTGACAAGCATTTTGTAGAACAAAACTTCGCAATCGTTATGCATAATTTTTGAAGAAAATTTTTATACTTTTCATGGATTTAGAGTAAGGAGAGTGAAAGTGTAGAATTTCGTATTTTTGTCAATTCTTTGAAGACATGAAGCTCCGGCTTGAACAAATATGCTAGAAACTAGAAGAATCAAGCTTTCGGATACTGCAAAAGGTTGCAGACAAAAGTGGTTCTTCTTTGAGAATCAGATTTTTCAAAAAGAGGTTGGAAAAACGTGCATTGATTATAAGACAAAATATTTCGTAACTAGAAATTATGCCCCATCCTCCTTTACGAGAGGACACAAGGCACTATGTAGCGAAATGTTAATAAGGTGAGAAAGCAGCTGCACGGGAAAATCCTCATCCAAAGGAGCAAGAATTGTGGTAAAAGTTCCGTGTTTCTAAGAAAATCATTTTTCTAATTTTATTTCTGCAGTGGGTGTATAGCACAAGCTCATCGAGATACGCTCACGAAGTGGAAGACTTTTTCTTTCCACTGTTATTGCAAAAAGCAAGTCCATAGAGTTAGCGCAAAGCTAAAAATTTTTGTAATCGAAACGACCAAACTATCGGGATGATCTAATAACTTGCTCGTCGAGCCAACAATCGTATTTATGAAAAGGCTTACAACCAGTACGAAGGTTTGATGGCTGTTCATTCTGCATGTAAATGTGATGAACGTTACTGTAGAGCAATCAAAGGAAAGGTATACGCTAAAACAAAATTCCCATTTTCAAGCAATTTACCGTTGGAATTTTAGCCCTCCAAATCAGAAGCTTGTATATGCTTTTATGACAATAGACGGGCGACCAATATACATCCATGGCCTTGTTACAAACAGGAACATTGGGTGGAGAAGAAATGCTCAGCGTGAGTATCACGAAACATGAATCAAAGAATCTGATGCTAAAGTAAATTTACGGGAATAGACTAATCATCTTTAGTTCAAGGTTTTGAAACACATTATCCCCTTGCAAAGTGCAAAAACCTCTACACACAAGTTTTTCTTCTCTTCATGAAAAAAGCTAGATTCATGGAGTCTCACTTTGTATAAGACGACCTCAAATTGAGAAAGTTGATAAAATTCATTGTCTCACTCTCCTGTACAAAAATCTCTCTTAACAGGTGCCGCGCATTTGGAAACTGTGATTATTCCGATAATCCCAATGCTCCCTACGACTGCTATTGCGTGATGGAGATAAAAATCTGCGTCAGGATCAATGCTGCAAAAGGAAATACTACCGACGTTTGTGAGTGAAACCAACACCTTTGCCTATATTTTTCCAAAAGAATGTTTAGGAATAACCCTATAGCCACACAAGTTTGCTTTGAGGTTTGAGCCTTTCGTCTTAGCGGTTTATTTACAGCCGAGCGACTTCTTAAGTTCTGGGAGATACAGCCTAACACAACAATGTCTTCTGTACAGGAAAAGAATGTGGATCGAGGGAAAGCTTATGACAATACGGTGTGTTACTTGAATCAATACGCTACTTTGGAAAGCACCTTAAGAGAGAGTAGATGCTAACAGGCATGTTTTTCACACATCCTGCGTATTTACTTGCTAACACATTAGAGGTGTTACTCAAAGGCAGCGTCCCACCAGATTGGAGGGTACCTGGCTATGGTATTAATGTATAGGCCGTACCAACCGGCATCGGTCATGCGACATCGCGCCCGCGGCAACTAGCGACGGTGCGGTGCGACGCGTGCGAACACTGTTACGCGCTAAGGCACGTCGCATGCGGCAACGCGTCATCGCAGACACCAACGCGGGACCGATGCTGGTTGGTACAGCCTATAATGGTAGACCCCTAACTAAGCGACGACGTCTACAAAGTCTGCAAATCGCCCCTCAAGTGGCCCCAATCTTACGGTAGGCCCGAACGCCGCCCATAAACCGATTTCGAACTGCAAGGCCAGAGCACGCATAGCGCACACAGTCAAAGCGCAGGCTCCTGCAAGGGCTCTGCGTCTCTATCTTGCATGCATCTCGTACTCACCCAAGCCTACCGTAAGATCGGAGCCACTTTCGGGGCAAATTTCAGGCCTGGTAGACCCTCTCTTCCGCTCCGAACTTCAGTTATCGCTTATGGGGGTCTACCTTAACATCGCCGCAGAAACTCGGCACCCATCCTTTTGCCGGAACGCTGCCTTTGAAGTCACAAACTAGATCAGGTCCAAAACAAACAATTCAGACTCGTTATAAAAATAGGCACAGATTATAGACCAAAAATTTTACCATGAGGAAGGAAAGCTGAAGAAAGTTTTTTTATTAGACTGACACTTTATTTTGTGAAAAAAGGGTATATACGAAGCAAAATCAACTTTATGATACAGCCATCAGATAAGGTGTATATTTTGGTTGCTCTCTGATTTGTTTTCTATCTGTTCCAGATCCACATCGCTTGCATTTGACTGTCTATGGCCATGCATGCGGTTGCAAATATGAAAATCTAGTGTGTAAATCCCAAAATCTGGTGTAAGATGTACATCTTACACGCCCAACTCGTGTTCATTTTTGCAACATGTTTTTTGATTTCAAAATTTGTTTAAGAAAGTTGACTATTACTTCTGCACAATTTCGTCAGCAGCAAAATAACTTGCACAAAAGGAGCAAACTATCCGATTCTTCTTCATTTAATCTTTCCAGTGATATTACATATATATTAGGTTGTCCCATAAGTCTTTTCATTTTTGAGTTTTCGCTATAACAAGTCAGACACTTCTTATTCTAAATAGATATCAGGATACCATTCGATAAAGCAAAGCAAGCTCTATAAGATGGCATTTGTGCTTTTGCACAAGCTTTGGTGCATCTCGAGTTTTGAATCAAAATCTAAAAAGTTTCGGGTGGCCAGAAAACCGATATTTTTTTTCTATTTTCGTTCAAAAAAAATCCTGCAAATCTCTAACCCGCTCACGTATATACATTCCACATCAGACATTCATATGTGCTGTTGGTGTATTTTTCTATTAGCTAGAAATCAAGAAAACGAAAATTTCCATGTTTTACCGAAGTGATGCTGTGCTGTTCTTACGCTAACAGTTTTATACTACAAGCCTTTACAAGGACAACTGTAAATTTTTAGCTCTCTATAAGCTCTGGTTTCCTAGAAATGTTGATTTAAGTGTGAAAAACCCCAGTGAAGAAAGCTAAATGTAATATCTCTCGTGAACCAGAGCATATTGAGAGCCAAAAATCTACGGTGGTACTTCTAAGAGCTTCTAGTATACAAATATTAGTGTAAGACAGCACAACATCAATTCGGTAAAAACATGGAAATTTTCGGTTTCTTGATTTCTAGCTAATAAAAAAATACAGCAACAGCACATATGAATGTCTGTTGTGGAATGTATATACGTGAGCGGGTTAGAGATTTGCAGGATTTTTTTGAACGAAAATAGAAAAAAATTTCGGTTTTCTGGCCACCCGAAACTTTTTAGGTTTTGGTTCAAAATTCGAGATGGACCAAAGCTTGTGCAAAAGCATAAACACCATCTTATAGAGCTTGCTTTGCTCTATCGAATGGTATCCTGATGTCTATATAGAATAAGAAGTGTGTGACTTGTTATAGCGAAAACTCAAAAATGAAAAGACTTATGGGACTAATATATATGTAGTAAATACTCCAATATACTGATACACTCATAAATAAATATTAGGTCGTTCCGAAAGTTCTTTCCGTTTTTTTAACCTGTCATAAAAACACGTAGAATGAAGGTAGGGGAACGCTTCAGGGACTATCCGACGCAGCTTTTCTTCCTCTTTTCAAATGTCATACTCCTGTGCCGCTTACTCTTGTGGTCAGTGAGATAATGCCCGAAGTTTGGAACCCATGGTTTTTACCATGTCCAACTTTGACAATTTTTCACAGTCTTCTTTTTTGAGTTTTGGAGAACCTTCAATAGCAGTCCGATAGAGTAAACAAAGTGCAATTTTGGACTTTTTTGGCGCCTATTGCTAACCCTGAATTTTTTTAGAATTATTTTTCTGATGCTATCAAATTCCACTTTTGGTGATGCCAAGGACCATAGAACATAAAACGGCGCACAACTAAGGTGTTATTCGATGCAGCTTTTCCTCTTCTTTCTAATGAGTATTTTTCTTCCCAATTTGTGGGGGGTTTCGGCGATAAAATTTCTATAACTCTTGATTTTGAACCCGCCTGAGGGTGTGCACGTAGCGAAATCTTATATTTCAAAGCGATAAACACTCAGTTACTTTGAAAAATGGTGGACAATCATAAACGACTTTTGATAGTGTCAAAATCCGAAGATCTGCTAATGTTCGGAGCGTTTATGTGTTTCGTGACTTCGAAAAAGTGAAGACTTCTGGAAAAGTTGTCTCAAAAAATACTAAGAAGCCAGTCGAAATTGCCAAAAAAAATTCCCTTAAATTGGACTTTGTTTACTCTATTCGACTGCTGTTAAAGCTTCTCCAAAAGTCAAAAAAGAAGATTGTAAAAAATTGCCAAAATTGAACATGGTAAAAATCATGGGTTCGAAAATTCAGCCATTATCTCACTGACCACAAGAACAAGCGGCAAAATAATGTGACAGTTGAAAAGGGGAAGAAAAGCTGCATCGGATAGTCCTTGAAGCGTTTCTCTACCTTCATTCCACGTGTTTTTATGACAGGTTGAAAAAACGGAAAGAACTTTCGGAACGACCTAATATATCTGTAACATTTCTACAAGGCATCAAAAAAGATCGACTTATTATTTTGCCAACCTAATAGTATTCATTGTAGAAAGTATAGACGAGAGAAAAGAAAAGGTTGTCAATTTGCCTTCTCTAAGCCACTCAGAATTCCCACGCAATTTACATAACTTTTAGTAATATTTCACAACTAGGAAGAAGAAAAGGGATTATGCCCCATCCTCTTTTAGGAGAGAACACAAGGCACTATTCAACGGAATGTTGTAAGGTGGGAAAGCAGCTGCATGGGAAAATCCTCATATAAAGGTGCAAGAATTTTGGTAAAAGGCACTTCCGTGTTTCTAACCGAAAAGCATTCTTCTAATTATATCTCTGCAGTGGGTGTATAGCATAAGCTTATAGACATACGCTCACAAAGTGGAAGATTTTTTCTTTCCATTGAATTTGCCAAAAAGCAAGTCCATCAAGATAGCAAAAAGCTAAAAAGTTTCATAATCGAAACGATCAAACCATCGGGACGACCTAATAACTTCTTCACTAGAATCGCGAAATAGCAAAAGAAATGTAGGAATTCGCTATAGTGACCACTGCGTCTTCTGTAGTTCCATTTGTTAGGTACAAGTTCATCGAGCCAACAATCGCATTTACGAAAAGGCCTACAACCAGTACGAGAGTTTGATGGCTGTTCACTCCGCATGTAAATGCGATGGAAGTTATTGTAGGGCAATCAAAGGAAGGGTATAAACTGAAACAAAATTCCCGTTTTCATGCATTTTACCATTGGAATTTTAGCCCTCCGAATCAGAAGCTTGTATATGCTTTTATGACAATAGAGTGGCGACCAATAAACCATGGCCATGTTACAAACAGGAACATTGGGTGGAGAAGAAATGCTCAGCGTAAGTATCACGAAACATGAATCAAAGAATCTGATGCTAAAGTAAATTTACGAGAATAAGCTAATCATCTCGAGTTCAAGGTTCTGAACTATATTTATCCTCTGCAAAATGCGAAAACCTCTACAAACAAGTTTTTGTTCTCTTCTTGAAAAAAAAAGCTATATTCATGGAGGAACCAAAGGATACAGAGTTGCTCACATTGAGATGACCCAAAAGTGGAAAACTTGATAAATCTCATTCGATGCTTCGCTTTCCTGCATAAAACTTCTTAACAGGTGCCACGCATTTAATAACTGTGATTATTCCGATAATCCAAAAGCTCCCTACGACTGTTACTGTGTGAAGGAGATAAAAATGTGCGTCGGGATCAATATTACCGAAGGAAATATTACCGACATTTGTGAGTGAAAAGAACATTTTCGCCTCTATATTGTCTATGAGATTGTCTAGGAATAATCCTATAGCCACACAAGTTTGCTTTGAGGTTTGAGCCTATCGTCTTAACAGTTTACTTACAGCCGAGCGACTTGTCAAGTTCTGGGAGATACAGCCTAGCACATCAATGTCTTCTGTACAGAAAAAGAAAGTGGATCGAGAGAAAGCTTATACGGTTTGTTACTTGAGTCAAGACGCTACTTTGGAGAGCGCCTTATGAGAGAGTAGATGCTAATTCGGCAAGTTGTTCACGAATCCTGCGTATTCCACTTGCTAACACCTTAGAGGTGTTACTCAAAGTCACATACTAAATTAGGTCCAAAACAAACAATTCAGACTCATTGTAAAAATAGGCACACATTATAGACCAAAAATCGTAACAAAAGGAGGGAAAGCTAAAGAAAAGTTTTTTTTTAATTTGACACCTTTTTTGTGAAAAAAGGGTTAAACACGAAGCAAATAAACTCCAAAATTACACGAAGCTTTCAGAATAACTTTATAGTACAACCATCAGATAAAGTATGTTATAATTTTGGTTGCTCTCTGATTTGTATTTTATCTGTTCCAGTTCCACATCGCTTGCATTTGACTGTCTATGGTCATGCATGCGATTGCAAATATGAAAATCTAGTGTGTATATCCCAAGATCTGGTGTAAGATGTACATCTTACACACCCAACTCGTGTTCATTTTTGCAGCATGTTTTTTGATTTCAAATTTTGTAGAAAAAATTTTGGCTAATCTTTTTGAACACTTTCGTCATCAGCAAAATAACTTGCACAAACGGAGCAACGAACCGATTCTTCTTGAATTAATCTTTTCAGTGGTACTAGACATTCACCCATAAGTATATCTGTAGCATTTCTTCACAGCGTCAAAAAAGATCGACTTATTTTTTTGTCAACCTAATAGTAGTATTCACGTAAGAAATTTAGACTAGAGAAAGAAAAAGGTTGTCAATTTATCTTCTCTAAGCCTCCCAGAATTTTTACGCAATTCACACAATTTTTTGTAATATTTCATAACTAGGAAAAAGAAAAGGGATTCCATCCTCCTTTGGGAGAGGACACATGGCGCTATGTAACACGCTATAGTGACCATCGCGTTTTCTGTAGTTCCATTTGTTAGGTAAGAGTTCGTCAAGCCAACAATCGTAATTATGAAAAAGCTTACAACCAGTCCGAAGGTTTGATGGCTGTTCACTCTGCATGTAAATGCGGTAAAAGTCAATGTGCAGCAATCAAAGGAAAGGTATAAACTAAAGCAAAAAAATTCCATTTTCATGCAATTGACCGCTGGAATTTTAGCCCTCGGAATCAAAAGCTTGTATATGCTTTTATGACAATAGACAGGCGACCAGTAAACCATGGCCATGTTACAAACAGGAACATTGGGTGGAGAAAAAATGCTCAGCGTAAGTACCACGAAACATGAATCAAAGAATCTGATGGTAAAGTAAATTTACAAGAGTAGGTTAATCATCCTCTGCAAAATGGAAAACCTCTACAAACAAGTTTGTTTAAAAAAAGCTAAATTCATGAAGGAACCAAAGGATACAGAGTTGGTCACTTTTTGTGAGATGACCTCAAAATGGAAAACTTGATAGAATTCATTGTCTCACACTCTTGCACAAAACTCTTTCTTAATAGGTGCCGCGCATTTGGAAACTGTGATTATTCCGATAATCCCAATGCTCCCTACGACTGCTATTGTGTGATGGAGATAATGATGTGCGTCAGGATCAATGCTGCAGAAGGGAATACTACCGACGTTTGTGAGTGAAACCAGCATCTTCGCCTCTATTTTATCCAAGACAATATTTAGGAATAATCCTATAAGCACAGAAGTTTGCTTTGAGGTTTGAGCCTATCGTCTTAACAGTTTACTTACAGCCGAGCGACTTCTCAAGTTCTGGGAGATGCAGCCTAGCACAACGAAAGCGGATCGAGAGAAAGCTTATACGGTTTGTTACTTGAATCAAGACGCTACTTTGGAGAGCACCTTATGAGAGAGTAGATGCTAACAATTTGGCACGTTGTTCAAAAATCCTAAGTATTCCCACTTGCTAACACATTAGAGCTATTACTTGAAGTCACAAACAAAATTAAGTCCACAACAAACAATTCTGACTCGTTATAAAAGCAAGCACAGATTACAAAACAAAAATTTTACCAAAAGGAAGAAAAGTTGTAGAAAAGTTTTCTCATCAGAATGATACCTTTTCTTTGTGAAAAAAGGGTAAAATGCTAAGCAAAATCAAGCCTCAAAATAACTCAGAACTTTTAGTATAACTTTATAACACAGCCATCAGATCACATCATTTGCATTTTGCCGTCCATGGTCATGCATGCTGTTGCAAATATGAAAATCTAGTGTGTAATTCCCAAGATCTGGTGTAAGATGTACATCTTACACCCAACTCGTGTTCTTTTTTGCAGCATGTTTCTGAATTCGAAATTCGTAAAAAAAAGGTTGACTATTCTTCCTGCACAATTTCGTCATCAGCAAAGTAACTTGCACAAACGGAGCGAACCATCCGCTTTTTCTTGATTTAATCTTCCCAATAATACCATACATTCATACATAAGTATATCTGTAACATTTCTACACAACGTCAAGAAAGATCGACTTATTTTTTTGCCAACCTAATAATATTCATGTAAGAAATTTAGACTACAGAAAGGAGAAGATTGTCAATTTGCCTTCTCTAAGCCACTCAGAGTTCCCACGAAATTTACCCTATTTTCAGGTGTATAAGCCGCACATTTTCAAATTTTCCCACGAGCTGCTCAGCCGCTTTATTGTGTTTCGTTGTTTCGAGAAGCGATCCTCGTGCCGCACGATTCTTTCAAGCAATACGCAGCACGGTGTAGGGTCCTTTGGTTGCGGGGTTCTTTGATCTGTTCGGGCTGGTCGATGTAAGCTAAGACCACCTTGTACACCTAAAAATAGGGTACATATTTTTCGTAATACTTCATAACTAGGAAGAAGAAAAGAGATTACGCCCCATCCTCCTTTAGGAAAGGACACAATGTGATAAAGGAGACTGTAAGGTGAGAAAGCAACTGCACACGAAAATCCTTAAATAAAGGAGCAAGAACTCTGGTAAAAGGCACTTCCGTGTTTTCAACCGAAAAAATTACTGGAGAAGAATTTCTGCTATATATATTTATTTGTCATACTTATTTATTATTGTTGGATTATCTACATGTACTTTTGACAGTAATTATTATATGACGAGCTGGCATCTCAGATTCCCCGCCGCCTCCTGTTTGAAGCCAATTTTCGTGCATGCCCTCCCATGTAGCGAAACTTACACTTTCTTCCGACGCCTTTTAAGTTCGCTTCCTAATGTTCTTGCCAAATCTTGATGACCAGCAGATCAAAATAAGCTTCACCGCTAATTTTTCATGACTATGGTAGATGTGCACAGACATACACACATATTTTTTGCTTTATATACATAGAGATTGTTCCGACTCTCCATTGAGCATATGCACAAACTTGGTCATATCATTGCGTGTGCTGCGAGCAGGACATTTGCTTATTTCGGGAAATAATTTGACCCATACTTGTTACGAGAGCATACTGGTGCTCTCAAATTTTGCTTCTGCAGATTAGAGCGTTAAAAAAACGGCGGGAAGGAGGCGGGGGGGGGGGGGGGAGTAAATGAAATTTCGTTTTGTTTTGCGTGTAGTGAGCCAACTCCTAATTTTTTCGCACGACTATGAGTTATGATAACTCATTTTAAAGTAGTTCATGGCCCGGCAAATGACAAGCTAGAAATCGTTTTTGGTGAAAAAAGCAAGGAGGAAATCGTTTTGCGGGGTCCTGAGCGGAGTCCCGGAAGAAATTTGCTGGTCTATGCTCTTTGTTTATCTTAACATGTTATGTGCCACAACAGGCGAACACTGGAGTACGCGTACCTCAAACCACGTCGCCGCTAATTGCCGCGTGAGCGACGTCGCATAAGCGATGCAGTTCGAACAGCATGATTACATGATCAGTTCTCGATGCAGCTCAACGATATAGCACCAAATTACGTAAGCGAACGAAGAGAGGCTAGTAGAAACAAATTATGAAATATTCTGAAAAACTGTGAATGGGAGGTGTAATAAGCATTTTTTCCAAAAATTTTGCTAAACTGGTAAATGAAGATGTGAATTTAAATGGCTCGTTTGCAGCGCACCGATGACCATACGGTATGAAACTTGATAGATACATGAACAAGGGCCTGCAGGACCTTAACTTAGAAGTTTTATTGGGAAATTATGTGGCTGAAGGTTATGGCAAGCTTTTTCTGAAAATTTCCCACTATCAAGAAAATGGAAAAATGGCTCTTGCAGCGCAGAGAAAACGAAATTGTGCGAGACTTGGTGCGTATACGCGCAATAGGACTAAGGAACAATGTATGAAAAATTATGAAAAACTTATGTGAATGAAGAGCTGCCCAACAAATTTTTCAAAATTTTTACATAAATCCGTTGCACACCTAAAGTTTACTACATGGTGAGATTTTGGTTCCGAAACTCCTCCTTTTGTCTTTGTTAGAGCCCAAAATCGCATCAGCAGCCTAGCTTTCTAAGGGCCGCATGCACTAACATTTCCGCGGGGAGGGGATCACAGCTTGAAAGAAAGCCTCATATCCTGAAGCTCCAGATATCTGGGTTTCACGTTATGTACGTAACCATAAGTATTCCTACTTTCCTTCACTATGAACACATTGAACAGCAGCGAGAAGCAGTATAAGCCGCAGTTTCCAGCATTTGTATGATCCCTAATGATCCCGGTGCTTTTCTTTAAAGTCATTTTTCTTTCTCCAAAGTTAACGAAAAGTCTCCAAAGCTGTGCAGATTATCTAACCCAACACTGCTTCGCATGTTGCTGATAAGAACAAGTGATGTATCGGAGTCATGAAATTTGCGATGAACCACAAGTCGAAAGTTGTGCTTTACTGAAAAATTCGATTTTTCGAAAACTCATTTGCTCTCATCAGTAACATGCTTAGCACTGTTGTGTTAAACTAGTACAACTTTGGAAGGTTTTCGTTAACTTCAAAGAAAGAAAAATGACTTTGAAGAAAAGCGCCGGAGATCATCAGGGATCATACAAAAGCGAAAATGCGGCTTGTACTGCTTCTCGCTCCTGTTCAGTATGTTCATAGTGAAAGATAGTAGGAATACTTGCGAACAGATAGACAGCGTGAAATCTAGATATCTGGAGCTTCAGAATATGAAGCTTTCTTCTGAGCTGCGATCCTCTCCCCAGCACGGATGTTAGTGCATGCGGCCCTAAAGCCCTGGCCATACCGTCAAAAAAATCACCGCGATGCGATTTGTGCAATCGGACAACTGCAATACCCCCTGTTTCATGCCGCCAAATTATGCATATCGGTCGTGCTAGCTGTCCGGCGCGACGGATCGCTGACCGTGTTTTCCTAGGCCATACCTATTCCAGCGATATCGCCGCGATTTGACCGAAATCTTGCGATATCGCGTCGCAAGTTTGAAACCTGCGACGGGGCGATATCGCTGGAATTGGATTTCTTCCCTGAAGGTTTTTGAAATAGTTCTTTTCCTTTTCGACTTGCTTTTTCTGCGGTGATGTTGAGATGTGATGCAGATTTCCTTCTGCACTTCGCAATTGCACTTCTGTCATGTTGTGATGCGCGTCTTTTCTAATTCGTGCCATCAATCAAAATGATTATTTTTAATTGTTCGAAACTCGTAATTGAATAACATAGTATTTAGGTATCTAAATTTCGCGAAAAATCAGCAAAACCGCAGCTACAACTTGAGAAAATTGCTTTTGCATCCTGTATTTAACACGAAAAGTTGAATGAAGATGTAAATGCGCGAACTAATATGAAATGTTGATGCTGGACGTACTGGTGTCGAAAAAAGACAAAAAAATCTGCAGATGTAAAGAAATCACGCTAAATACTGCTTTTGGATGGCAAAAGAAAACGTAGAACGAGTGCTGAGGTGTATATTTTCACCTTATCGCTGGACAGGTAGGTATGTCCAGAACCCGCGATGAGCGATTTGATAGTCGCGATTTCGTCGCTACAATCACAAAATTCTTCGGCGATGAGATCGCGACGATGAAATCGCTGTACGCATGGCCAGGGCTTAAGATGGAAAGCGCGCCCCCGTCAATCGATACGCTCGGGAACGGTTCTCTCAAATATCAAAGTAATGCAGTCCTATGAGTCCTATTTCTTCATTCCTCCATCATTTTTCTTGCTTATTCTTCTTCCTGTTTTCTATTTTGATACAGGTGAGGAGTAGTTAGAGGAATTTGAGCATTTTGTGCGAAGTGTGGCCAGTGCTCTCGTTGCACAAGTACAAATCATCGTTTTTGGGGTCAAGGGGGTATTCGTAAAAATCAATGGGATCAAAGGGGAATTCGTTTTGGAAAACCCCGTTTGCCCACCTCGTGCCGGGCCCTGTCCCTCTGCTTTTCATGTCAAATCTTAAGTGCTCGTGGGCCACCTGTGCCTGATCCTGCTCCGAGCTTTAGATCTAGGACAGCATCTACCAAGTATAAATTAAGCCTCTTCTAGGCGAAGGAATATCGCGACACCGAGTGTCCTGATTACTTGAACAGAGTGCCTAGAGATCGATCGAAAGCCCAAGTACCTAATCCGTAAACTGGAGGTAAGTAATCTATCCTTCGATGTGTTAACCACTTCAAATCCTTCAGGATCATGGTACCCGGGAAGAAATTCGTACAGGCATGCATTTGCGCGGTGTTTAACAGGATGCATGTTTGACATTATGATATCCCAATGTTGCAAAGCTGTTGATTTTTCTGTACTTAATTTTTTCCTTTCCTTCTATAAGACGAAAGTTTTGGATAAAATCAGTTCTCGATCGAGACTTCATAGAAAACATCAAGTCCATGTATTACCTAGATTTCGGAATAATCACAAAGTAATTGCGTAACCTTAAAAAATGCTAAATCTTATCTGACTTCTCAGAAAAAAGAGAAACGTTTCTTGTTCCCTTACAAGGAAAGTACTATCAATGGTCGTGGCCTTTTGATATGAGATGCATATCATCTGAAGCAGCTTCGAACGCTGATTTCAAATCTGCTTTCCGTTTCTGCGGAACACTCTTCTGAAGAGAGTTATGGAAGCCTGAACATTCTATTTTGGGGGCGCTCCTTGAGTTTTAAGGCGCTGCTATGTGCATTGGTGGTGCAGTAATGTAGTGGTTAATTGCTGACATTGAAGGCGAGAGGTTATTGGTTCGAGTCCGGTGGAGAACAAACTATTTTGCTTATTGAATGTGAGTTTAAAAGCCCTTCAAATCGCCCGCAGACACCCACTTAATGCCTTTGGCATAAGTGACCTAGAAAAAAATTTTGTGGCAAAACTGCTTGTAATGAGAAATTTTATCTGAAATTTTATTTGACTTCCTTACTAGTAAAACAGGACCAAACATGGCCTAGCACGTTTGTCACAATATAAAGCTCAAAAAATGCACACTGTCATTAGTCGAAAAGATGTTCTCTCCTGTTTGTGCTAAGGCATTACAGTAAGTGTCTGCAGGCGATTTAGAGTGCTTTCAAACTCACATTCAATAAGCAAAATAGTTCGCTTTCCATCGAATTTAAACCACCAACCTCTCGCATTCAATGTCAGCAATTAACCATTACACTACTGCGCCACCAACGCGCATAGCCGCGCCCTCAAACTCAACGAGCGCCCCCAAAATAGGATGTTCAGGCTTCCATAACTCTCTTCAAAAGAGCGTTCCGCAGAAACGGAAAGCAGATTTGAAATCAGCGTTCGAAGCTGCTTCAGATGGTATGCATCTCATATCAAACAGCCACGGCCATTGAAAGTACTTCCCTCGTTAGTAAGCCCAAGCATGCAGCTCTGGCTGAAATACTGGTTATAAGTCTGCAAGATTTTACTAAGATAACCGTAAAATGGAGAAAGGACTAAATTGCCAAATTTGATATAACAAGGATTCAAGAAACTTTTGATGGTCTCAGCCTCAAAGCCGACAAACACACCATAGAAAGTTCTGAAAAATGCTACTCTAACCTTCAGATATCAAAAAGCGAAGCAGCACGGACTGAAACTGAAAGAATGGTTCTGTTGGATTTGGCTACATTATTATTTATTATCACTCTAGATTCACGTCTTGAAAATCTTAGGGTTGTTTCAGACTGCCGCAGTGACTGCAGCAGACTGCAGCTGACTGCAGCAGACTGGAGCAGACTGCATGACCGCAAGGGCCGCACAGATCGCTGTATCCTTGCGTGAAGGTGGAGTGGATAAATAGTTGTAGCCCAAACAACCAACAACAATATATGCCTAGATCCAAAAGAAAACACCAATGAAAGTAAAATGGTATATGCAATAAAGGGAGAATCAGAACAAATATAAACATCAATCGCCAAAATTTGATTGAAAACAGTAAGTTGGAACCTATGAACTTCCTAGGCGTAAATCACGGTGTTTTGACATGATCGCAATTTTTTCTCTTCTACGAAAGCATGCAGCGTCTGTGCGGCCGTTGTGGTCAGTGCAGTCAGCTGCAGACTGCTGCAGTCAGTGCGGCAGTATGAAACAACCCTTAGAAGGACCCGAAAGAAGAGAAGAGGTCTTATAGAGCAGGCTTAATATTCCTGTTTGCTGGGAGTGACGTCTCAAAGATTTACGCATCAAAGGAAGAACATACATGCACATTGTTAGTATGTAATTTGTGATGAGCTCACCAGAATAGCCAAGAGAAACATCTTCAAAATAAAAAATGAGTTATGAAAAACGCAATAAAGGTTAAGCCGCAGGCGATAAAAGCGTAAAGAAATGATAACGTTTTAAGACTGATGATGCTATAGAAGCAGCTTTATTGAAAACGAAAAAGAATAGTCAAGGGGAGCAAACTACAAAAAAATCATCAAAACAAATTGGTACAGATATTGAAGTGGCAGCAAATCAAATTGATAATCACGATATAACATGCCTTATGTCGGAAAATTGCTGCACTTTTTCGGTAATTTTCTAAATACTCGTAACTCTTAATAGAGAAGTAAGGATCTTTTGGCTACTGTAATCTAATATATAAAGAATCGTTAGCTCAGTTCAAAAATCTTGCAACAGCGGAGAACCGCGGCGGGTCCCGAAGCGAACGCTCTTCCAAATAGCACCTTTAGATTACTGGTTCACTAGTAGAACAAAGCATGACAAAATTGAGTAAGTGTGATTCATATGAGTCATGGTCCAGAAGGGCGGAACCGGCAGAGGACAATGTACCGCCTTCACAGGCGTGGACATCTGCCACAATCCTTACGTACTTGCACTAGGCAGTACCAGTACATTTGCAAGGCAATTAGGAAGTCTGCAGAAAGTCGTTCTGCAAATCCTGAGAATAGCATATTTCTTAATGAGAGAGAACAGCATATAAATAGGATGCAATTTGCTGTCAGATGCCTACGGCAAAACGAAGATGGATAAGATTAGATTCTGAACAAAAATTCTCAGTCATAGCTGCTCATTGCAGAGAATACTGTCAAAAAAAGATAGTAAATCAGTAAATCAAGGTTTTTTGCAAAGAGAGCATGACTAGCCATTGGATATTCCACTACACATTATAACCTAAACAAATATCGTTTTCTTTTAGATTACTTCTATATCTTTGCAACTCTTTAGTGATGAAATGTCCAAATGAGGGTTAAAAAATGACCATTACTACGCCTTAGAAGAGAAATTCTCACAAATTGACCCAATGTTCTATTTATGAATCTAGCTATGTCGAGATAAAATCGTTGCTATCAAGTTAAGCTAATTGTGGATCCAAACGATCATAGACTGACATGATTTCGGAGAAATCACTTTGCTAAAATAAAAATAATAACTTAGACAGCTGACCGGAACTTCCCCAGAACATTTGGGAAAGTTTCATCGGGTCATCTGCGGAAGTTCTGCAGGCGTGATGCGGAAGTTCCCAAATGAGATGCTGCGGAAGTTTCGAACAATGCGAATCACAATAGCAACAGAGAACACCTACGCGAGCGACATCTGAACCTTACTCTATTGTCTGCGAGACTCACCTATTTACTACCCTCTGCCCTACGGATGACATGTTCGGTAATGCACTCTAGTTGTTGGCGAGGCAACATCATACGAGACAATACATTTAAAACCCTGTGGAAGTACTGGCATGTCGATGTGCTGCCGAAAAGCTGGCATTTTGCAAAAGTTCCACAGCGTTTTGTAAAAACTCCTTCGAAAGTTTCCATTTCCAACGTTTCCACTTTTGCAATAGTAAACAAGACTCTGCGAAACCGCTGCAGATTTTGCTTGTCCTGCGGAAGTTCCAGTGATTTGTCTGATTGTGAGAAGATTAGTCGAGCGAAATCAGGGCCCGGCACGAGGTGGGCAGACGGGGTTTTCCAAAACGAATTCCCCTTTGACCCCAATAGTTTTTACGAATACCCCCTTGAGCCCAAAAATGACGCTCTGTGCTTGTGGAACGAGAGCACCGGCCATACTTTGCCTAAAAGCGCTCAAAAGCGCTCAAAATGCTTAAATTCCTTTGACTCCTCACCTGTATCAAGATAGAAAACAGGAAGAAGAATAAGCAAGGAAAATGATGAAGGAATGAAAAAATATCAAGGAACGCAGTCATAGGACTGAGAGACGCCGTTCCCGCGCGTATCGATTGACTGGGGCGCGCTTTCCAGCTTAGAAAGCTAGGCGGCTGATGCGATTTTGGGCTCGAACAAAGACAAGAAGAGGAGTTTCGGAACCAAAATCTCACCATATAGTAAACTTTAGGTGAACAACAGATTTATGTAAAAATTTTGAAAAAATTATGTGAATTGAAACTTTTTCCCACCTCAGGTGGGCATTAGGTGGGCAATTGCCCACCTAATTTGGAAAAAAGTTAAGCACGCTCTTCATTCACATAAGTTTTTCATAATTTTTCATACATTGTTCCTTAGTCCTACTGCGCGTATACACACCAAGTCTTTCGTTTTCTCTGCGCTGCAAACGAGCCATTTTTACATTTTTTGATAGTGGGAAATTTTCAGAAAAAAGCTTGCCACAACCTTCATTCACATAGTTTTTCAATAAAACTTCTAAAATAAGCCCTGCAGGCCTGTGTTCATGTGCCTCCCAAGTTTCATACCGTATGGTCATCTGTGTGCTGCAAACGAGCCATTTGAATTTACATCTTCATTTACCAGTTTTGCGAAATTCTTGGAAAAAATGCTTATTACGCCTCCCATTCACATAAGTTTTTCATAACATTTCATGCTTTGTTTCTACTAGCCTCTCTTTGTTCGCTTACGTAATTTGGTGCTATATCATTACGCCTGCATTGAGAACTGATCATGTAATCATGCTGTTCAACGGCATCGCTCATGCGACTTCGCGCACGCGGCAATTAGCGGCAACGCGCGTAGTGCGCGCGAAGTCTGCTGGGCATTGAGGTTTAGGAAAACTACTTTCCGATGAATCAGATGTATAACGTAAGCATGATTCAACCTTTTTTTGCTTGCACTTGGAATCTTCTTCCGGGGCTCCGCCCCGGATCCCGCAAAAACGATATCCCCTTTGCTTTTTGGCCCCAAAACGATTTCCAGCTTGTCATTTGCCCACCTCGTGCCGGGCCCTGAGCGAAATGCTGACAGGCAATGAGAAAACGCCTTTGGCCGGCAAAGTCCCATCGTCACCTCCCCGCGGTGCCGGCTGGCAACGGGGACCAACCCCGGCAAACGACGAGGGCACTGTCCCGCCAGGCGGAGCGACGCGCCGGGGACTGTACGAATCAGTCGTGTCACATGCATCGGA